GATGGATGGATGGATGGATGGATGGATGGATGGATGGATGGATGGATGGATGGATGGATGGATGGATGGATGGATGGATGGATGAACTTCTGACATATTACGTAATATTTAAAATGAGCTTTGGGATCAAAGTCTGTCGCAAATTAAAACCTGTTCCATTACTTCTAGACTTCAGTGTATTTAATTCAAAGTTATCCATTGGATGCACTTGTCCAAAACCAAACTGTTTTATAGTGTCTCTCCAGCTGGTGAGAAATGTAAATCAGATAATGGGAGTCTGGGCCTTAGCCCTAAACCTGCCCTAAACCTATGGACTTCTAGTGCCAAATATTTCAAATTTGTAGTAATGCTTACAGCAGACATCTTACTCATGATAACCATTGGACAATTTTGGATTGCTTAAAATGTTCTATCATTCTTCCCACTTTTTTAGCAGCAAAGGCTTTTGTTGGATTTGTTGATTGCAAAATGAGTAATGCTGAGTGAATGGATGGCCTTTATCTCTCCTTTTTTTTTTTTTGTTTTTACAAAAATACCTAATCTTATAGTTTCCTGTTTTTATGTACAAGAAAAGATAGAGTGCAGACCAGGAAGCAGCATCATAGTTTAACATAACTCTCTGCAGCTTCACTACTGTTTCTACAAACTAAATGAAATAAATTAGAAAATACTCCTTAATTGGGGGATTCTTTATTTGTTCTTTTTATTTGAATTCAGATTATTTCCATTTGTTCAAAAGTTAAAACTGTCTTGAAGACATAAAAACCTGGATGACTCTTAATTCTCTGCTCCTGAATGCAGACAAAACAGACTAGAGTCTTGTAATTATTCAGTCATTTCTTTTGGATGGGATTAAATTGATCTCTAATAATAGAGTAAAAAATCTTGGTGTTATTTTTGATCGGCGTCTGTCATTTAAATCCCATATCAAAGAGGTTTCTAGATTTCCTTCTTTCATCTGCAGAATATTGCAACATATAGAAATATCCTGCCCAGGGGTGATGCTGAAAAACTGGTCCATGCAGTTGTTACTTCAAGGCCGGACTACTGTAATTCTTTACTATCAGGAAGTCCACAAACTGCATTTAAAAGCCTTCAGCTGATCCAGAACGCTGCAGCCAGTGTTCTGATGAAAATTAAAAAGACAAATAATATCTCTCCTATCCTGGCTTTTCTTCATTGGCTTCCTGTTAAATCAAGAGTAGAATTAGAGTTATCCTTCTCACATAAAAAGCTTTAAATGGCCAAGCTCTATCTTATATCAGAGATATGATTGTTCCTTATGTTCCTAAAAGAGCACTATACTCTCAATCTTCAGGTTTACTAGTGGTTCCTAGAATTTCTTAAAGAAAAATAGGAGGCAGATCTTTCAGTTATCAGGCTCCTGTGGAACCAACTACCAGTTTTAGTCCCTGAGGCACACACTCTGTCTGCTTTTAAGGGTAGGCTTAAAACATTCCTTTTTGATAAAGATTATAGCTGTATTGGCTCAGGTTATCCTGTGCTATCTCTATAGTTATGCTTTTATAGGCCTAGACTGCTGGAGGACATAGGCATCGTTTTTCATCATTCTGCTTCATTCTATCTCTGTTCTCCCATTCTGCAGAATTTGTTAGTTCAATGTCTAACTTTATGCCATCTCTGCTTTTTCTCATAGTAGCTTCATCTGGCC